TGGTCTCAGTCTCTCTGGTCTCAGTCTCTCTGGTCTCAGTCTCTCTGGTCTCAGTCTCTCTGGTCTCAGTCTCTCTGGTCTCAGTCTCTCTGGTCTCAGTCTCTCTGGTCTCAGTCTCTCTGGTCTCAGTCTCTCTGGTCTCAGTCTCTCTGGTCTCAGTCTCTCTGGTCTCAGTCTCTCTGGTCTCAGTCTCTCTGGTCTCAGTCTCTCTGGTCTCAGTCTCTCTGGTCTCAGTCTCTCTGGTCTCAGTCTCTCTGGTCTCAGTCTCTCTGGTCTCAGTCTCTCTGGTCTCAGTCTCTCTGGTCTCAGTCTCTCTGGTCTCAGTCTCTCTGGTCTCAGTCTCTCTGGTCTCAGTCTCTCTGGTCTCAGTCTCTCTGGTCTCAGTCTCTCTGGTCTCAGTCTCTCTGGTCTCAGTCTCTCTGGTCTCAGTCTCTCTGGTCTCAGTCTCTCTGGTCTCAGTCTCTCTGGTCTCAGTCTCTCTGGTCTCAGTCTCTCTGGTCTCAGTCTCTCTGGTCTCAGTCTCTCTGGTCTCAGTCTCTCTGGTCTCAGTCTCTCTGGTCTCAGTCTCTCTGGTCTCAGTCTCTCTGTCTCAGTCTCTTGGTCTCAGTCTCTCTGGTCTCAGTCTCTCTGGTCTCAGTCTCTCTGGTCTCAGTCTCTCTGGTCTCAGTCTCTCTGGTCTCAGTCTCTCTGGTCTCAGTCTCTCTGGTCTCAGTCTCTCTGGTCTCAGTCTCTCTGGTCTCAGTCTCTCTGGTCTCAGTCTCTCTGGTCTCAGTCTCTCTGGTCTCAGTCTCTCTGGTCTCAGTCTCTCTGGTCTCAGTCTCTCTGGTCTCAGTCTCTCTGGTCTCAGTCTCTCTGGTCTCAGTCTCTCTGGTCTCAGTCTCTCTGGTCTCAGTCTCTCTGGTCTCAGTCTCTCTGGTCTCAGTCTCTCTGGTCTCAGTCTCTCTGGTCTCAGTCTCTCTGGTCTCAGTCTCTCTGGTCTCAGTCTCTCTGGTCTCAGTCTCTCTGGTCTCAGTCTCTCTGGTCTCAGTCTCTCTGGTCTCAGTCTCTCTGGTCTCAGTCTCTCTGGTCTCAGTCTCTCTGGTCTCAGTCTCTCTGGTCTCAGTCTCTCTGGTCTCAGTCTCTCTGGTCTCAGTCTCTCTGGTCTCAGTCTCTCTGGTCTCAGTCTCTCTGGTCTCAGTCTCTCTGGTCTCAGTCTCTCTGGTCTCAGTCTCTCTGGTCTCAGTCTCTCTCTGGTCTCAGTCTCTCTGGTCTCAGTCTCTCTGGTCTCAGTCTCTCTGGTCTCAGTCTCTCTGGTTTCAGTCTCTCTGGTCTCAGTCTCTCTGGTTTCAGTCTCTCTGGTTTTAGTCTCTCTGGTCTCAGTCTCTCTGGTCTCAGTCTCTCTGGTCTCAGTCTCTCTGGTTTTAGTCTCTCTGGTCTCAGTCTCTCTGGTCTCAGTCTCTCTGGTCTCTCTCTCGCTCTGGTCTCTCTCTCTCTCTGTATTCTCTCGCTCTGGTCTCTCTCTCTCTCTGGTCTCTCTCTCTCTTTGGTCTCTCTCTCTCCAGACCCTCGCAAACAGTCACTGCGCAGGACCACTTTACTTTTACATGTACGTCAATTGTATCCACATTCAGTTGGAGCCAAACTTCCCCCTGAGCACTTCCCTATAGCCTTTCATTGCTAGCATATTAGCAGGATAGCATATTAGCATTTTCCATCTGTACACAGTCTGTGACAGAACTCTACACAAACATTTCCCAAAGTGGAGAAACGAGTTGTAAATCAGTGACACAGACCGACTCCGACTGCGACATATTTATGAGAGAGCGCCTCCCTCTCCCCAGACGCTTCCTCCCTGTGATGTCACTAACTCTGGTCTGATGCAGTGCTAATATTCATTATGCATCTGGTGTATTTGTTGTTCTGGAGTAAACCATAACTCACATAGTATTCACAGACATCAGGCTCAGATCAGAAGAGAAACCCACAGAGAGGTCGATTGTCCATGCTAACGTTAGCTAACACTGGTACTCTGGTCTCGCTCTGGCCTCTCTCTCTGGTGTCTCGCTCTGGTCTCTCGCTTTGGTCTCTCCCTCTGGTCTCTCCCTCTGGTCTCTCCCTCTGGTCTCTCCCTCTGGTCTCTCCCTCTGGTCTCTCCCTGTGGTCTCTCCCTCTGGTCTCTCCCTGTGGTCTCTCCCTGTGGTCTCTCCCTCTGGTCTCTCCCTGTGGTCTCTCCCTCTGGTCTCTCCCTCTGGTCTCTCTGGTCTCTCCCTCTGGTCTCTCCCTCTGGTCTCTCCCTCTGGTCTCTCCCTCTGGTCTCTCCCTCTGGTCTCTCCCTCTGGTCTCTCCCTCTGGTCTCTCCCTCTGGTCTCTCCCTCTGGTCTCTCCCTCTGGTCTCTCCCTCTGGTCTCTCACAGGGTCTCTTACTCCGGTCTTGCTCTGGTCTCGCTCTGGTCTCTCCCTCTGGTCTCTCCCTCTGGTCTCTCCCTCTGGTCTCTCCCTCTGGTCTCTCCCTCTGGTCTCTCCCTCTCCTTGGTCTCTCCCTCTGGTCTCTCCCTCTGGTCTCTCCCTCTGGTCTCTCCCTTGGTCTCTCTCTGTCTCTCTGGTCTCTCGCCCTGGGTCTCTCCTCTGGTCCTCTGGTCCTCGGTCTGGTCTCTCCTCTGGTCTCTCCTCTGGTCTCTCCCTCTGGTCTCTCTGGTCTCCTCTCTCGTCTCTCGCCTCTGGTCTCTCCCTCTGGTCTCTCCCTCTGGTCTCTCCCTCTCCTTGGTCTCTCCTCTGGTCTCTCCCTCTGGTCTCTCCCTCTGGTCTCTCCCTCTGGTCTCTCCCTTGGTCTCTCCCTGGTCTCTCCTTGGTCTCTCCTTGTCTCTCCTCTGGCTCTCCCTGTCTCCGGTCTCTCCCTCTGGTCTCTCCTGGTCTCCTGGTCTCTCCCTCTGGTCTCTCCTCTGGTCTCTGGTCTCCTCTGGTCTCTCCTCTGGTTCGGTCTCTCCTCTGGTCTCTCTCGGTCTCCCTTGGTCTCTTCCCTCTGGTCTCTCCGCTCTGGTCTCTCTGCCTCTGGTCTCTCCTCTGGTCTCTCTCTCCTCTGGTCTCTCCTGTGGTCTCTCGCTCTCTGGTCTCTCTCTGGTCTCTCCTCTGGTCTCTCCCTCTGGTCTCTCCCTCTGGTCTCTCCCTCTGGTCTCTCCCTCTGGTCTCTCCCTCTGGTCTCTCCCTCTGGTCCTCCCTGTGGTCTCTCCCTGTGGTCTCTCCCTGTGGTCTCTCGCTCTGGTCTCTCCCTCTGGTCTCTCTCTGGGGTTAGTGTTAGGGTCTCTCGCTCTGGTCTCTCCCTCTGGTCTCTCCCTGTGGTCTCTCGCTCTGGTCTCTCCCTCTGGTCTCTCCCTCTGGTCTCTCCCTGTGGTCTCTCGCTCTGGTCTCTCCCTCTGGTCTCTCCCTGTGGTCTCTCCCTGTGGTCTCTCCCTGTGGTCTCTCCCTCTGGTCTCTCCCTCTGGTCTCTCCCTGTGGTCTCTCGCTCTGGTCTCTCGCTCTGGTCTCTCCCTCTGGTCTCTCCCTGTGGTCTCTCGCTCTGGTCTCTCGCTCTGGTCTCTCCCTCTGGTCTCTCTCTGGGGTTAGTGTTAGGGTCTCTCGCGCTGGTCTCTCACAGGGTCTCTTACTCCGGTCTCGCTCTGGTCTCGCTCTCGTCTCTCACAGGGTCTCTCACTCCGGTCTCGCTCTGGTCTCAAAGGGTTAACCTCCTCTGTGGTAGTTGCAGGTGTTTGGTGGTTTCTCTACACATCACTAACTTCCTGCTTCACTGTCTGTTTGTGCAGAGGTTCTCAACCCGAGGACCGTGGACGAAAAGGAAACAGAGGAAGCACAGTTTGATTTCAGCGTTTGCAGAATTTTGTTCATAATACAAGTCCATTTTCTCCCAGAAGGGCGTTAGCTAACTCACATGAGGATAATGCAAGTGCGTTACATTTTTTGTGACGCATTTTCACGCTTTTTGCACCCCAGAACCTTTCTCTTGGAAGAGTTTCAGGAGGACCAATTAAACTGACGCACCAACTGCTCTGGACATCAGTAAACCACAGTCAACATGAACGAATAAGCGGACAACGTTGGTTTGATTGTGGACGGGAAATGTTATGAAACAAACGGATGGAAGTGAGCAACACCTCGATGCTAAACGTAGCGCAGCTAGCTGTTAGCATGTACGCTAGCCCGAGTACAAACCCCCCACACCCAAACCACTCTACCAGGTGACTGCTTTAAGGACCAGGGGAGTCCACGTCAGATCCAAACCACACTCGGGCGACACGGTGACTGCAAATGGCAAATCAAATCATGTAAGATCCTGGGTTCAAATCCCGGTCGGAACAGGGCCTTTCTGAGTGGAGTTTGCATGTTCTCCCTGCGTCTGCGTAGCTTTTCTCCGGGCGCTTTGATTTCCTCTACCACTAAATACATAAACAATCGGTCTGTAGCGTGTGAGTGAACGGATGGTGTTTGGTCGGAGGCTTTGATGGTCCAGTGTGTTCTAGTCTCGCTTCTGTCCTCACCGAATGGAACAATATCTGACCTCTGAACTTTGTAAAGCCCTATATATTTAAACATTACTCCCTACTGCTACACTCCACCTGGTGACACGCAAATCCAAATTTAAGAAGACTTTTTCATCTCTTTAGTCTTGAATTTACTTTTTATCCAGTCCCATTGAGAGATCACGTATTGATAGAGTCCATAGAGTGATTATCATGAGGCCCGTCCGTTACATCTGAGGTAAAATGTCTGCTTCAGGTGTCGGTTCCAAACGCCGATGTGAAATCTGATAATAAATCTTTCTGCTGGGACTTCCTGCCTGTCGCTATGGTTACAGTAGAGCTGCTTCCTTCTGCTCACGTTGGGTATAAAAAACACAAACACACACACACACCCACAGACGCACAGACGCACAACCACAACAACAAGAGACGTAGAGACCCCTGTTCTGGTGTGGCCTGGTGTACCATCGATGTATACGCTGGTGTCTGGTGTGGCCTGGTGTACCATCGATGTATACGCTGGTGTCTGGTGTGGCCTGGTGTACCATCGATGTATACGCTGGTGTCTGGTGTGGCCTGGTGTACCATCGATGTATACGCTGGTGTCTGGTGTGGCCTGGTGTACCATCGATGTTTACGCTGGTGTCTGGTGTGGCCTGGTGTACCATCGATGTATACACTGGTGTCTGGTGTGGCCTGGTGTACCATCGATGTATACGCTGGTGTCTGGTGTGGCCTGGTGTACCATCGATGTTTACGCTGGTGTCTGGTGTGGCCTGGTGTACCATCGATGTATACGCTGGTGTCTGGTGTGGCCTGGTGTACCATCGATGTATACGCTGGTGTCTGGTGTGGCCTGGTGTACCATCGATGTATACGCTGGTGTCTGGTGTGGCCTGGTGTACCATCGATGTATACGCTGGTGTCTGGTGTGGCCTGGTGTACCATCGATGTATACGCTGGTGTCTGGTGTGGCCTGGTGTACCATCGATGTATACACTGGTGTCTGGTGTGGCCTGGTGTACCATCGATGTATACACTGGTGTCTGGTGTGGCCTGGTGTACCATCGATGTATACACTGGTGTCTGGTGTGGCCTGGTGTACCATCGATGTATACACTGGTGTCTGGTGTGGCCTGGTGTACCATCGATGTATACACTGGTGTCTGGTGTGGCCTGGTGTACCATCGATGTATACGCTGGTGTCTGGTGTGGCCTGGTGTACCATCGATGTATACGCTGGTGTCTGGTGTGGCCTGGTGTACCATCGATGTATACGCTGGTGTCTGGTGTGGCCTGGTGTACCATCGATGTATACACTGGTGTCTGGTGTGGCCTGGTGTACCATCGATGTATACGCTGGTGTCTGGTGTGGCCTGGTGTACCATCGATGTATACGCTGGTGTCTGGTGGTGTGGCCTGGTGTACCATCGATGTATACGCTGGTGTCTGGTGTGGCCTGGTGTACCATCGATGTATACGCTGGTGTCTGGTGTGGCCTGGTGTACCATCGATGTATATACGCTGGTGTCTGGTGTGGCCTGGTGTACCATCGATGTATACACTGGTGTCTGGTGTGGCCTGGTGTACCATCGATGTATACGCTGGTGTCTGGTGTGGCCTGGTGTACCATCGATGTATACGCTGGTGTCTGGTGTGGCCTGGTGTACCATCGATGTATACGCTGGTGTCTGGTGTGGCCTGGTGTACCATCGATGTATACGCTGGTGTCTGGTGTGGCCTGGTGTACCATCGATGTATACGCTGGTGTCTGGTGTGGCCTGGTGTACCATCGATGTTTACGCTGGTGTCTGGTGTGGCCTGGTGTACCATCGATGTATACACTGGTGTCTGGTGTGGCCTGGTGTACCATCGATGTATACGCTGGTGTCTGGTGTGGCCTGGTGTACCATCGATGTTTACGCTGGTGTCTGGTGTGGCCTGGTGTACCATCGATGTATACGCTGGTGTCTGGTGTGGCCTGGTGTACCATCGATGTATACGCTGGTGTCTGGTGTGGCCTGGTGTACCATCGATGTATACGCTGGTGTCTGGTGTGGCCTGGTGTACCATCGATGTATACGCTGGTGTCTGGTGTGGCCTGGTGTACCATCGATGTATACGCTGGTGTCTGGTGTGGCCTGGTGTACCATCGATGTATACACTGGTGTCTGGTGTGGCCTGGTGTACCATCGATGTATACACTGGTGTCTGGTGTGGCCTGGTGTACCATCGATGTATACACTGGTGTCTGGTGTGGCCTGGTGTACCATCGATGTATACACTGGTGTCTGGTGTGGCCTGGTGTACCATCGATGTATACACTGGTGTCTGGTGTGGCCTGGTGTACCATCGATGTATACGCTGGTGTCTGGTGTGGCCTGGTGTACCATCGATGTATACGCTGGTGTCTGGTGTGGCCTGGTGTACCATCGATGTATACGCTGGTGTCTGGTGTGGCCTGGTGTACCATCGATGTATACGCTGGTGTCTGGTGTGGCCTGGTGTACCATCGATGTATACGCTGGTGTCTGGTGTGGCCTGGTGTACCATCGATGTATACGCTGGTGTCTGGTGTGGCCTGGTGTACCATCGATGTATACGCTGGTGTCTGGTGTGGCCTGGTGTACCATCGATGTATACGCTGGTGTCTGGTGTGGCCTGGTGTACCATCGATGTATACGCTGGTGTCTGGTGTGGCCTGGTGTACCATCGATGTATACGCTGGTGTCTGGTGTGGCCTGGTGTACCATCGATGTATACACTGGTGTCTGGTGTGGCCTGGTGTACCATCGATGTATACGCTGGTGTCTGGTGTGGCCTGGTGTACCATCGATGTATACACTGGTGTCTGGTGTGGCCTGGTGTACCATCGATGTATACACTGGTGTCTGGTGTGGCCTGGTGTACCATCGATGTATACGCTGGTGTCTGGTGTGGCCTGGTGTACCATCGATGTATACGCTGGTGTCTGGTGTGGCCTGGTGTACCATCGATGTATACACTGGTGTCTGGTGTGGCCTGGTGTACCATCGATGTATACGCTGGTGTCTGGTGTGGCCTGGTGTACCATCGATGTATACGCTGGTGTCTGGTGTGGCCTGGTGTACCATCGATGTATACGCTGGTGTCTGGTGTGGCCTGGTGTACCATCGATGTATACGCTGGTGTCTGGTGTGGCCTGGTGTACCATCGATGTATACGCTGGTGTCTGGTGTGGCCTGGTGTACCATCGATGTATACGCTGGTGTCTGGTGTGGCCTGGTGTACCATCGATGTATACACTGGTGTCTGGTGTGGCCTGGTGTACCATCGATGTATACGCTGGTGTCTGGTGTGGCCTGGTGTACCATCGATGTATACACTGGTGTCTGGTGTGGCCTGGTGTACCATCGATGTATACACTGGTGTCTGGTGTGGCCTGGTGTACCATCGATGTATACGCTGGTGTCTGGTGTGGCCTGGTGTACCATCGATGTATACGCTGGTGTCTGGTGTGGCCTGGTGTACCATCGATGTATACGCTGGTGTCTGGTGTGGCCTGGTGTACCATCGATGTATACGCTGGTGTCTGGTGTGGCCTGGTGTACCATCGATGTATACGCTGGTGTCTGGTGTGGCCTGGTGTACCATCGATGTATACGCTGGTGTCTGGTGTGGCCTGGTGTACCATCGATGTATACGCTGGTGTCTGGTGTGGCCTGGTGTACCATCGATGTATACACTGGTGTCTGGTGTGGCCTGGTGTACCATCGATGTATACGCTGGTGTCTGGTGTGGCCTGGTGTACCATCGATGTATACGCTGGTGTCTGGTGTGGCCTGGTGTACCATCGATGTATACGCTGGTGTCTGGTGTGGCCTGGTGTACCATCGATGTATACGCTGGTGTCTGGTGTGGCCTGGTGTACCATCGATGTATACGCTGGTGTCTGGTGTGGCCTGGTGTACCATCGATGTATACGCTGGTGTCTGGTGTGGCCTGGTGTACCATCGATGTATACACTGGTGTCTGGTGTGGCCTGGTGTACCATCGATGTATACGCTGGTGTCTGGTGTGGCCTGGTGTACCATCGATGTATACGCTGGTGTCTGGTGTGGCCTGGTGTACCATCGATGTATACACTGGTGTCTGGTTTAGGACCGGGGTGATGTGTTCTAAAAATAACCAACGGTGAGTGAAAGCCTTGAAGTGGAAGTGTATGTAAGAGACATGAAAGACCAGAGAGACCAGAGAGAGAGACCAGAGTGAGACCAGAGAGAGACTAGAGGGAGACTAGAGAGAGACCAGAGAGAGAGAGAGACTAGAGAGAGACAGAGACTAGAGAGAGAGACCAGAGCGAGAGAGAGACTAGAGAGAGACAGAGACTAGAGAGAGAGACCAGAGAGAGAGAGAGAGACGAGAGACAGAGGCCAGAGCGAGACTAAAGATGGAGACCAGAAGAAGAGACCCGAGAGAGAGACCAGAGAGAGACCAGAGAGAGAGACTAGAGAGAGACCAGAGTGAGACCAGAGAGAGAGACTAGAGAGAGACCAGAGTGAGACCAGAGAGAGAGACTAGAGAGAGACCAGAGTGAGACCAGAGAGAGAGACTAGAGAGAGACCAGAGTGAGACCAGAGGGACTAGAGAGAGACCGGACAGAGACCAGAGAGAGACCAAAGATGGAGACCAGAAGAAGAGACCAGAGAGAGACAAGAAGGAGAGACCAGTGAGACCAGAGAGACCAGAGAAGGACAACAGAGGGAGAAAGAGACCAGAGACCAGAGAGAAAGACCAGAACGAGAGACAAGTTGGAGCCAAACTTCACCATGGCCACTTCCCAATTGGGTTTCATTGAGCTAGGGGTTAGCATTGTCCATCTGTATACAGTCTGTGTTAGCATGTAGCATCTGTATACAGTCTGTGTTAGCATGTAGCATCTGTATACAGTCTGTGTTAGCATGTAGCATCTGTATACAGTCTGTGTTAGCATGTAGCATCTGTATACAGTCTGTGTTAGCATGTAGCATCTGTATACAGTCTGTGTTAGCATGTAGCATCTGTATACAGTCTGTGTTAGCATGTAGCATCTGTATACAGTCTGTGTTCCCAAAGACGAGGTTAAAATGGAGGCAGATTGAGATAAATGTTCTTCTCTGTGACTGTGGCTTTGATCCAGGACTTAATGACAGCCCTGTGTCTGAACACCAGTAATACCAGGTGTCGGGGGCCCCAGGGCAGAGACCGGGGGATTCACACTCACAGGGGCCAAACAGAGACAGAGGCCACCCATACCAACCGAGTGTGACATCACCACAGTGTTAGCCTTAATGCAGAAGAGGCCGATTTGAACATAAGCTGGAGCTAGTTTCCTTATATGGGCATTTGTTCTGATGACGTTAAAGTAATAGAAGCAGATGTGTTGCTAAGACGGTTGCTAGGGCAAAGGCTAAGACCAATCAAATGCATGAATGAGAGCATCTGATTGGTCAAGACCAGAGAGACCAGAGAGAGAGATCAGAGAGAGACCAGAGAGAGACCATAGAGAGACCATAGAGAGACCAGAGAGAGAGATCAGAGAGAGACCAGAGAGAGAGATCAGAGAGAGACCAGAGAGAGAGATCAGAGAGAGACAGAGAGAGAGATCAGAGAGAGACCAGAGAGAGACCAGAGAGAGACCAGAGAGAGAGATCAGAGAGAGACCAGAGAGAGAGATCAGAGAGAGACCAGAGAGAGAGATCAGAGAGAGACCAGAGAGAGACCAGAGAGACTAGAGAGAGACCAGAGAGACTAGAGAGAGACCAGAGAGACTAGAGAGAGACCAGAGAGAGACCAGAGAGAGTGACCAGAGAGATATCAGAGAGAGAGACCAGAGAGAGACTAGAGAGAGACCAGAGAGACCAGAGAGACTAGAGAGAGACCAGAGAGACTAGAGAGAGACAAGAGAGACTAGAGAGAGACCAGAGAAAGACCAGAGAAAGACTAGAGAGAGACCAGAGAGACTAGAGAGAGACAGGAGAGAGACCAGAGAGAGCCTAAAGAGGGAGACCAGAGAGAGACCAGAGAGAGACCAGAGAGAGACCAGAGAGAGACTAGAGAAAGACTAGAGAGAGACTAGAGAGAGACCAGAGAGAGACCAGAGAGACTAGAGAGACCAGAGAGACCAGAGAGACCAGAGAGAGACCAGAGAGAGACCAGAGAAAGACTAGAGAGAGACCAGAGAGAGACTAGAGAGAGACCAGAGAGACCAGAGAGACCAGAGAGAGACCAGAGAGAGACCAGAGAGAGACCAGAGAGACCAGAGAGAGACCAGAGAGAGACTAGAGAGACCAGAGAGACCAGAGAGACCAGAGAGAGACCAGAGAGAGACCAGAGAGACCAGAGAGAGACCAGAGAGAGACCAGAGAGAGACTAGAGAGACCAGAGAGACCAGAGAGACCAGAGAGAGACCAGAGAGAGACCAGAGAGAGACCAGAGAAAGACTAGAGAGAGACTAGAGAAAGACCAGAGAGAGACCAGAGAGAGACCAGAGAGAGACCAGAGAGAGACCAGAGAGACCAGAGAGACTAGAGAGAGACCAGAGAGACCAGAGAGAGACCAGATACATATTCCCCTTACCTTACAGATGGCAGACCCCCCACCAACACTTTTATATCTGTGTCATTTTGTTCCTTGTGTGTAATTTGTTCTGAAGTGTTTCCCGTCAATTTAAAAAGACGGAAATTCCCCTAAAAATAACAGCTCCAGGCAAAAGTCTGTGTGTGTGTCTGTAGAAGTGTGTAGCTGTGTGGGTGTCTCTCTGGATGTGTGTGTGTATGTTTATTGTATGTGCAAGTGTGTATCTCTGTGAGCGTCTCCCTCTCTCTGTGTCTCTGTGTGGGTGTCTCTCTGTGTGTGTGTGTCTGCGTCTGTATACAGTATGTGTATATAAGTGTGTCTCTCTGTGTGTGTGTCTCTGTGTGTGTGTGTGAAAGTGTATAAGTGTGGGTGTCCGTGTCTGTGTGTGTGCGTGTGTATATACAGTATGTTTGTCTCTGTATGTGTTTCTCTGTGTGTCTGCGTCTGTATTTAGGTGTGTGTGTGTGTGTATAAGTGTGTCTGTGTGGGTGTGTGTGCGTGTGTATATACAGTATGTGTTTCTCTGTGTGTATGCGTGTGTCTGCGTCTGTATTTGTGTGTGTGTGTGTGTGTGTGTGTGTGTCTCTGTATGAATGTGTTTACAGTACTGACATGAGCTCAGGGACAAGGACAGGAAAGAGCAGGTGTACTGACAGAGAAAGGAGTCGGATTATTCGGTCACTTTCTCACCGCGACCGCAGCCACATCACGGTTTCACTGAATCAAACGCAAACGACCAAAATACACAAATGACTTTAATCCGGAGCACGACTGGTCTGAAAGTCTCCAGTTCGGCTGCTAATGCTAACGCCGCTAATGCTAATGACACTAAGCTAATCAGATTGAAATCAATACACGTTGGTTTGTAAAGCCCAAAGACACAACACCAAAAAGAGACCAGAGAGGGACATGAGGGAGACTAGAGGGAGACTAGAGAGAGACTAGAGAGAGACTAGAGAGACCACAGAGAGACCAGAGAGAGACCAGAGAGAGACCAGAGAGAGACCAGAGAGAGACCAGAGAGAGACCAGAGAGAGACCAGAGAGAGACCAGAGAGAGACTAGAGAGAGATCAGAGAGAGACCAAAGAGAGACCAGAGAGAGAAAGAGAGACCAGAGAGAAACCAGAGAGAGACCAGAGAGAGACAAGAGAGAGAGCAAGAGAGACCAGAGATAGACCAGACAGAAAAAACAGAGAGACCAGAGAGAGACCAAAGTAAGACTGGGAAGAAACCAGAGAGCGAAAGACTAGAGAGGGATCAGAAAGAGACCAAAGAGAGACCTGCGAGAGACCAGAGAGAAACCAGAGAGACTAAAGAGACCAGAGAGAAAGACCAGAGAGAGACCAGATTGAGACCCAAGAAAGAGATCAGAGAGAGGTTCTAGTAAACAGCAGTTAAAACATGGTCACGACTCAAAAAACTCTAAAAACAAGAATAGGGGAAAGTAAAGGATCGAGAGAAGAGTAAAATAAAAGTTTTCTTTGTGAGCGAGAGACAAAGGGACGTCGGAGACAGAGATTAGGTTTAGTAAATGTTAAAGTGCTGATCTGGAGTCCACTGGGCTCTGTTCTAACTGGTGTAATCTGCAGCTTAGGAGCCATGGCCTTCAAACCCACAGAGAGACCATTCCAAGGTCCAAGTCTCTGGTCCAAGTCTCTGGTCCAGTCCAGCTTTGGCTCGGACCAGTGGGATCCATGAAACAATAGAATTATCAGTGAAGCGGCAACAACAAGGAATTAATGTATGAATGAGAGAGTAATCTGGATTGGGTTCTTTGAGACCAAGAGGTTTCTGGTTTTGGAAAGTGGAATCTAGAAATAACATGGAATATGAGAAATCCTATAGTAGAAGCTGTAGGTTTAAAGAGCAAAGAGAGAAGAAAGAGAGAGAAAAGAGAGACCAGAGAGAGAGAGACCAAAGAGAGAGAAAGACCAGAGAGCTACTCTACTCTACTCTACCTTGGTCCTGGTTCTATCCAGGCTGAGCTGGTACTAAAGTGTTCTAACTGAGGCTGCGGTCACATGCGCAGCCTAAAGCCCGGTTAAAGTGTGCCAGGGCCCGCTTCGCAGTTAGATCCGGGCTTTAGGTGCCATCTGACCGTGGCATTCGTGCCAGAGCACGATTCCTGGAATTGTGCTCTGGCGCGGTTCAAAACTTCGGCCAGGGCCCGCTTTCCCAGCGCTGATGAGGGGGGTCAGTGTGGCGGGTGGTGGGGAGTGGGGGGTGAGGTGTGGTGGGGACTTGATATTGTGCGTCACATTACGTCTTCCTGTGACACGCATTTTCACACACGTCTCTCCTGCACTTTTGTATTGTCCGCTGTGTCAAACCTTTCATATAAGCCCCGGACCGTGGTCGAGGGGCGCAGGGGGAGTGTCTCTGCAGGGCCAAAGAAAAGTGTTTCCTACGGGTACAGCTCTCTTCTGTCCTGACCGTTATTATAGATCCATGGTCCTGACCCTCGCTCTCAGTGTGGTGCTATTGCAATAACACTTCAGAGGTTCAAGAATCAGTCTTTATTTAATCACCAGAACACACACAC